TTAAACGGTAAAGTGCCCGGCATTTAAATAGACTAGCGATTATTAGAAGGCCTTCGAAGAATTAAAGCGAAGATTTACGACTATACTAACACTCGTATACTTCGTTCCCGGACGAAGAACAGTTATCGAGACTAATTCTTCTAACTATATTAACTCCGGAGTACTGTCCTAATACGATAATAATAATATACTTCGACTAGTTGCCTTCTTTAGCAAGAAGCTTACTCCGTAAGAATGCAATTACGATATCTATAACAAGGAATTAATAGTAATCGTTAAATCTTTCGAGGAATAGCGCTCGGAGCTCGCCTCTAAAGGAGGGGAGAGTAGGCTACTAGTTAAAGTCTTGTTAGATTATAAGAACTTAGAAACCTTTATAACAACTAAGTAGCTAAATCGACGCTAGGTACGCTAGGCTAAATTCCTATTACAATTTAACTTCTAGATCGAATATCGACCTAGTAAGTAGGGCACTAAGCCCGATAGTCTAACTAGAAGAAAACAAGACCTCCTAGCAGATACTAACGACCTACGGGTTGTTTATTAATAACAAGTCCTAATCAAACCTTACTAGGTTCTCCGTATAGAGCAAACCGGCATCTCTACTACAAGCCCTATCGAAGCACTAATCGACTAAGCTTATAGTAAAGACAAGGTCTTATAGCAAGCTATTAAAGATCTTAATACGAGACTAGTCCTATAACTCCTACGATAAGCTAAAGTTAACCTAGCTTACTATAAGATCCTTAATAACCGCCTACTTATACGAAACAAGTGTAGTAGATTTAGCTTATAGATCCTAGAAGATAGACTATTAAAGACTAGGCTAATCCGAGAACGATATAATCCGCCGCCTACTAGTTATCTAGGTATTTTAAAGACATTCGACTTAGTTGCTAGAGAATACTTTTAGCTATAGATCGGAAAATAGGTTCGACGATATATTACTAATTATCGCCCTTATCGAACAATAAAGGCCTCTTATCTATAGTATTAGGGACTACTTCAATTAATGCCGATTCCGTTCGATGCTTAGCGAGAAATTACTATTAACTTCGTTATCGACCTTCCTCTAAGTTAGATAGCGGAGGGTATTAAGTATCGCAATATTATAATAGTTATAGATCGTTTAACTAAAGAATATTACCTAATACCTATTATATCGATAAAGGTAGACAATATAGCACGACTCTACGTTAAAGAGGTGTTCGCCCGCTACGGCCTTAGCGATAGTATAACTTCCGACCGAGGGTCTTAATTCGTATCGTTACTCTAGAAACTTATCTACGAGCTTCTCGGCATTAAGTAGATAATGTCTTCTTTATACTATCTAGAGACCGATAGTTAATCTAAGCGTACTAATTAGAGTATAGAGTAATATCTTCGCGCTTTTATCGATTAAGCCTAAGACGACTAGGTAGAATAGCTTCCGCTCGCGGAATTCGCACTAAACAATTATATTAGCGAATCTACCGGTATAAGTCCTTTCTACGCTAATACTAGCCGTAATCTACGATATTTAGCAACTCCGAAGGTTCTCGAAACCGCTATACGCGACGCGATTAAAACAACGCTATAGAAGCTATCTGCCGAAGCCGTAGACAAGTTTGTACGTAATTTGTATAACCTTTATATATACCTACGCTAGCAGTTAGCCCTTACTTAGTATATATAAGCTAAAGCTGCAAATTCAAAACGCAACCTCGCTCTACTTTATAATATCGGCGATAAGGTATACCTAAGCACTAAGAACTTCCGTATAATACGACCGTCTAAGAAACTCGATCTTAAATATATAGGACTATATATAATTACGGAAATCCTGCTAGAGAAGTTATCCTTCCGACTCGAGCTACCCGCCTTACTATCGGCTTTAGACAACTGTTTCTATACTAGCCTACTAATGCCTGCCTAGAACGAGAACCTACTACCGCTGCCCGGTTAGTACGAAGCTCCGCCGCCGCTAGTTACCGCTATTATCGAAGGAGAGGAACGAGAAGAGTATATAGTTAAAGCTATCCTAGACTTATACTAACTGAAGCCGAAGGGTCGCAAACCTAAAGGCCGTAAGTAGCGCAAGATGCTAGAAGTGCTTTATTAAGTTAAGTAGAAAGGATTTAGAGTTACCGAAGATAATATAATATAGGAGCCTACTAGCAATATCCTACCTAATGTAGCCGCTACTATTACAGACTTCTATTACAAGTATCTAGACAAGTCTATTTAAGCTAGCTTCGAACTACCGCCTAGTTAGGTTCCTTTCGAGCAAGCAGATTAAGACACTACTAATGCTTCTAGTATCGCCTTTACGATAAAGGACCCGCTAGCGGATAGCGTACTCGAGCGTGCCTCGTCTAACGACAAGTTACCTATTACTATATAAGTCGTTACCTCTTCCGAGACTTTAAGCGAAGCCTCTAATTCGTTACGCCTAGCCTCTAAGACTTTAAAGGAACTCCTTACGCATATAGTCGCTTATAAGCCGGTTAAATTATATATATAGCGCGAGCCTACTTTAGGAAGGAATGTTATATAGAAGCCGTATAAGCGAGTAGACCTTAGCGACTACGAGGGCGATTAGACCTAGTCTACGGATATATAGGGCATTACTAGTACCGGCTATATTGCATTAGGCGAGCGTACTACGGAACTAGGAGACATAGATAAGGCAGGATTAGACTTATAAGAGACTGCGAGTTTAGAAGGGGGGGGGTACTATTACGGCTAGCTACCTATATATACTATAGCTGCCTAAGACAAAGGCTTATTTACTTGCACTATTTGCTAAGGCAAACAGTCGCCGTAGTAACGAGGATATAGGCCTCTAGGGCCTTGCAACCTCTTCGTAGAATCGTACGCAATTAAGTTGTTTCCTCGCTTAATTACGTGCCTTAACATTCTATAGCTAATATTTATATTCTAGTAGGCACTATATAAGAAAGTTTAAAATACTATAATACTTATAAGTTCCTTATATATAAGGGACTCGGGAGCTAACTCTAACTATAGATAAGTAAATCTCGAGTAGAATAATTATAATATACTTACTAAGCTTAGTTTACCTAGATTACTATTAGCTTATAATAATATATTTTATAATAGCTCGCGCGCTCGAGCTTATAGGATATTACTATAGTACGAGGTAGCTTCCGAAAGAGAGGGAATACTTAGGTTATTAACCTATAACTCGGATTTCGTTAATAATAAAGACTTTACTAAAATCTATTAGGCCGTCCTAGGTCTAGCCTCGCCTAATCTAGAAAGCGCTATCTAGTAGAACCTATACGATCTCGAGACTATAGATACTTTAGGCTAAACGGCGCTTTTATAGGTAGCTATATATAGAAATATAAAGTCTATAGTATTACTTCTCGCCTATAATACTAATCTAACTAGGTTCGATAACTACGAAGCGATATCTTTATATAATACTACCTAGAAAAGGAGTTTTAAATACTATTATATTCTTTTTAAAATAGGGACGAAGACTAATCCTAAGCGGCCTACTAGTAAAGGAGCTAGAGCTGCCCTAACTACTACCGCTTGTATATATAACGAGGTTAAAATACTACTAGTTATTTAGACCCTAACCGACTATAGAGCTAATATAAACTCTCTAGTATCTAGTAGGCGAATAGCTCTATACTAAACGACCTAATAAGAGATTATAAAGGTTATAGAAATACTGTATAATACCGGCGCCGATATTAATATTATTAGTAACTTAAAGAACTAGCAGACCCGTCTTATATCTACTATATCGTATAATAGTTATTAATTACTAAAGATATTACTCGAAACATTAGCTTATTATAAAGAATATCCTTATTTTAAAAGCCTAAGTCTACTAGGTCTAGTCGTAATCTATATAGACTTTAGAACCGATATAGATAAGAAACTTCTTATAGTATTCGAAGACTTACTTATAGTAGTTAATAGCTAACTAATATCGAATATTTATCCTTACTTAGTTCTTAATATAGAAAGAGTTTTTAGCGGCTTTATAGTAGCTCTAGATATAGAATACGAATATAAAATTCCTAGATCCTAGAAAAAGAAGGAAAATAAAAGCGAGGCCTAATGTATCGATTCGAAAGAAAACGAAGCTTCTACTAAAGGCTTTAATCTAGATATACTATAAAAGCGAATCTTTTAGGTTAATTAAGAGTCTAGATTTTATATATTAAACTCGAATCGTATAGGACTAAACTATACTATGCTTTACTAAATACTAAAGTTTTACTAGTATATAAACGCTTTTAAGATAGTATATATCTCTTAGTCGATATATTACTATTACGAAAGTTTTAGATCTTAGGATTATATTAAATAGGATTTATATATCTACTAAAGATTAATATCTACTATTTAGGTAAGAGATTATATTCTATTTAGATAACTAAATATATATAGGAAGAGATAATTTTTTTTAAAAAAGTTTAGCTAGATTAGTATATTCTTTAATATCGTACTAAATAAATCTATAAACTCGGCGTATTTTAATCTAGTTATATTATACTTAAAGCGTAGTAGCGGAATTAGCTCGTAGTCTAAATTAAAGATTAGTAGTAGAAGTAGAACTAAATTCTAGTAAAGATAGTCTTAAATATAATTTACTAATTCTATATAATAAGGTTTAATATTACGATAAACGGAAATTAGAAATACCTATATAAAGACAATATAGTATTCTTATTTTTATTTATAAAGTTAATATAGGGAGGAGATGTTTTAAATAGCCTAGAATAATAGCTAGCTAGATTAAATAGTAGCTCTCGTACTATAGGGTTAGTATTGCTTTAGCAGAATAAGAAATAGAGCGTAGAAGTATCGATCTAGTAGAGTAGATCGGGAACTAGTTTCAAGTGCCTAGAGCACACTAGGGTTCTTAACTAGCATGATCTTTCGGCAGATCCGAGGTTCTCCTATGTTAGGAGATATGCTATCCGTGTCTCAGGCGTGAGCACGAAGAAGGGCGAGCTATAGCGAGCTTACATACCACCACGTTTAGCGAAGCCATCGGTTGCTTCTTTCCTTTCTGATCGTCTCTTATAACGATCACACCCCACATCATCATGATAAATGCCATAGCTTGGAGGCAAGCGAGGCCTAGTGTCTAGTCGAGGCAGCGACTGCGACTGAATACCACTCCTGTGCGCCCACTTAGGTTTCTACCTACCGCCGTAGATCGAAGTATATAAGGAACAGACAAACTCATCTCCAACTCTCGAGCGTTAAGATATGCTTCCATCGAAAACTCCCACCATGCCTTCAATCCTCGGAGCCGTTCCCTTCATCATCGGCCTCACCTCCGCCGTCCAGAAAGTCCAATACTACTACGATGGCGGCTGCTCCAGCTACGCAGTCGAATTCTGGCCTTCCCAGAATGGCGACTGCTACAATTATGAGTACGGAAACACCAACAGCGCGAATATCGTCTGGGCCGATTACAACTCTGCTTTCTGTTCATTCTTCACTCAGTCCAACTGCCAAGGCTCTGCTCACTCTGCCTGCTTGGGGTGGGGATGCACTAGTGGGAATTGTGCTTCGAATTGGGGGTCGGGTTTCAAGTCTGTGCAATGTTGGTCGTAGAGTGGATTCGAAGGGAGGGTGGGATGAGAGTTGATTAGGTTGGTGGTGGATTTCTGGGTGTGCTGGGCGTGGGTGATGGTGGAAGGGGTGCGATTGACTTGTTTGTGTGTAGCGGGCACGAGTCGCCGTTGATGGGTTGGTGGGTGGCGTGAAAGGGAATGGTGCCTTGTCTAGCAGTATTGAGCTGTCTTGAGCAGAATCGAGCTGTTGACATTGAGGCCTGTCTTCGATGCAGATACACAAAGCTCTGTTGCAGTCCGCCAACTGTATACACAGTGAGAATTACACGATCTTTCCGTTACGCCGTATGTCCTCTCTTGGATTCCGTTGTACTTCGTAGCAACTTTGCGTAGCCGAACTTGTCCGGCATCAGGAGATTTGTTGGAAGCTGCTCGGGTCAGACAAGCCGCCAAGCCACTACACGAATCGCAGCTGTCTGGACTCACGCTATGAGTAGCTATGCCATGTCACCTGAACTGTCGAAGGGAGGTATTCGACACTGCTTCGACTTCTGGTAATGGTTACGATCCTCATAAGCGGAGAGCTCTATACTGCCATGGAAGTCGGAGGATGATCAAATACCACGAAGACTTTCTCTTGTAGCACTCGTCGAAGAAATCACGAACACTTGTCTGATTGCCTGTATTTGTTTGTGAAGCAATCCTAGGAGAGCTGAAGTGCTTTGCCTCTCTCGTTACTTGCTTTCGGTATTCCAGCCCCAAGATATTAAGAAGTCATTGTAGGAACGCCAAGTAAACAACGCAAGCACAAGCACATTACGTGACTGCGGCGTTGCAAATGATCTACTCGGGGCTGAGGAGGCGACTTGGAGAAGGTAGGTCGAGGCCACATCTTCGCCTCTTGAAAGCTGCTTTCTAGTAGTCGAGAGCAACGAGCAGCAAGGCCGAGTTCCACAACGTTACAGCCATGAAGCTGTGTGGGGCAGCTGATGGACCTTATAATTGAAATGAGCTATAGCTATTGAAAACTTTCCGATAAGTTTCAAATCAAAGGCATGACGTCCTGTGACCCAAGTCGCTCAGAGGTGAACTAGACAGGAGCACCTTTTCAGAAGTTGATCCTTCCTTGGTAGACTGCAGGCTGCGTGGTAGCTGGACGCCTGGCTGCAGCAGGTCCAAATCTGGCTATCCATGAGGCTATGATAAGGGGAAGATGCCGATGTAGATCCGGATGTGTTGTTGTGTCAAGCTTGAAATGCTGCACTGCATTGATTATATGGGAGCTCGCGTTGCCGTCTGTTGTGTAGCATTTCCAGTAGTGTGTAACGAGGGCAGCATCCATTGCCATTGAAACTGCTTTCCATCTTCCAGCAGTACTCGAGTGCATGAATCGGGCGTGGACGTTCGCTGCTGCGGCTATGCATCGAGTGCCGCATTCGCAAGCGCATCTGCCTCGCTGTTCATATCGCGGCTGACATGCCAGAACTCCACACAGATGCCGCCATCGTCACTGTACTCCATGTAATCCAGCTTTTCATGTAGCTCCTTCAGTCGCTCGTAGTGCGCCACTCTCTTTCCCCGTGCACCGATACCACCGTTTGCGATCCACCCCTCGACCCATCTTGCCATAGCATCCACGACGAAGCTGGAATCTGTTGCGATCTTGATTTCGCACAGCTTGAAGTCTGTATTGCAGATGCGTTGGACCGCTTCAAGAGCATGGGCGAGAGCTTCAATTTCGGCTCGAGTGCTCGTTTGTGGTATCGTGGAAGGTACGAGTCCTGCGCAATTGAAAGGAGAGTCGGGTCCAAAGTAGACGCCATATGCAGCTCGGGCGTTCGGTTTGCCGTTGTTGCGACAAGCGCCATCGATATGCACTACCAGAGAGGATTCATCTCGAGAACGTTCCGATTGAGCCATAGCTTGGAACTGAAGCTGCGAAATGCGTTTCTCCGTGTTGTAAACAACGAGGTCTTGACGCGGTATGAGTCTGCGGCCAGGATCGTCTGACGGCACGAACAGCCGGCGGATCTCTTCGTAGTTCTCGTCGTAGGTGAACATGATTTCAGCAATTTGCTATGGCGGGTTGACAATTGCGCTTATAGAGGAACGAGGAAGAAAGTTCGGCGAGGAGGTTGCAGTATGAGTTCCCTCCTTCCTAGGCTCTTCTTATAGACTTCATTCCACCTTCCGCTTTCACCTTCCTCCTTTACCTTCCTCCTTCCAACTTCCACCTCCCACTATCTGAGTGCGTTGAACAGGTCACTGCAGTTATCTTAGTTCGATCGCTTGCTTATTCTAGCTTCCTACGCCTAAGGTATATTATAACGCGTTAGCTTAGTTATATAACTGTTATATAACTTCTTAGTATATAAAGAATTTTTACGATATGTTTCAGACTATAGAATAGATAGAAGATAGGTAATAAACGAAGTTAATATAGTAGGGAAACCCGGCTTAGTATAGGTATATACTTTTATATCTTTTAATTGCGAGCGAAGCTCGCCTTATATTAACAAGGGTACTATAGTAGCTAATTGCGTCGAGTTGTTACTACGTAACTCCCCGGATTCTAAAAGCTAAAGCTCTAATTAGCTAAATTCTATAAGAACTACTAGGACGGTACGGTAGAACTTAACCTCCTAGAAAATTACGTGCCTGCCTTTTACGCGACTTTATACTAACTATAATAAAGGCAGGTAATGCGCTACTACCCTTAATACTAGTAGTACGCACCTAAGAAAAGACAAGCACTAGCACTAGTACTAGCACTAGTATAAGTATAAGTATAAGTATAAGTATAAGCACTAGCACTAGCACTAGCACTAGCACTAGCACTAGCACTAGCACTAGCACTAGCACTAGCACTAGTACTAGTACCGCGAAGTACGAGTACGAGCACTAGTACTAGTACCTAAGACTAGCGCCGCATCTAAGCCTAGTACTATAATAGTAAAAAGATAGGAGGAAGAAGGATAATAAGAAGGATAATATATACTATAGTAGTAGAAAAGACGAGCTATCTAAGGCTAAAAAAAAAGGACCTAAAGGCTAGAAGTAAAAAACTATAGACGGGCAACATCCGGAGTTACTCTTACGGACACGATATAGCCCTCGAGCTTATTAACCCTTTAAGATACGTTATAAATCGACTAAGTAAATATAACTACTAGACTTCGACCTTATACGCTTCGTTACGAAAACTTTTTTACCGATCGCGACGATCCTATCGATAGGATCGCTTAGGATCCTTAGGATCCTTAGGATCCTTAGGATCGCACGTTAAAGATCTTGTCTAATAGGATCGCCGCGATCTAGAAATTCCGACTACTCGCGATCCTATCCGATAGGATCCTCGCGATCGCGAATTTCGGGACGGCCTGTCCCGAAATTCGAGGGCAAGGAACGTAAAGGACGCGAGGTAAGTTAGAGCCCGACTGCTACTACTCCGTATACTACTACTACGAGGAGGTATTTCGGGGTATTACGTACTAATATAGGTCAAATTTAGCGGTTTCGCAGGTTTTTTTTATAAATAAATTTTTTTCGTTGAGGTTTCGTTAAATGCAGCCGATATTTCGTTAAGGTTTCTTTCAAAAGCCGACGCTTAATAAGCAGAACTTTGAAAAAAAGTACACTCGAAACACTCGAGATTCTTTTCTAGATTCTAGGATAATTACTAGGTATTAAGACTTCAAAATTTATAATACTCTTATTAGTAGGTAGAACTTTAAGTTCTATTTTTTAAATTTCTAAAAATAGTAAAGTATAACTTAGAAAAGCCAAAATACTATATTGCTTATTTCTATTCCCTAGCTCTAGTTTCGTAGAAAAACTATAAATTTTATATTTTTTTAAAATAATATACTAAAAATAGAGTACCTTTTTACTATATTACTAAGCTATAAACCTACTAGAAAAAAAGATAAATTAGAAGCAAAATGTCTAGAAAAGCGATTTTCTTTCCTTTATATCTTTTTATCTAGAAGGTTTACGGCTTAGTAATATATAACAAAAATGTTCTATTTTGAGTGTAGTATTAGGCAAAAGTCTAACTTTTATAAGTTACCTATTTATCGTTCTAGGATAGCTTAGGATCGCTCGGGATCGCTCGGGATCGCTCGGGATCGCTCGGGATCGCTCGGGATCGCTCGCGATCGCTAGGATCGATAGGATCGTCGCGATCGGAAAAGAAGTTTTCGTAACGTTCCGAAGAAACGCCGCTATAGAAAACCTATCCCGGAGAACTAATTTCTTTAGGGTTAGACAATAGGCAGTTACCTCTACTAGTTTATTAGGCTACTAGCTGCCTTAGAAAAGGCCGAAGCCTAAATCCCTTAGGTTCCCTACGTAACTTAATAACTAGGCGCAAAGGATTACTACAACTCCTATACCTAGTTATAGCTAGGCGTCGCTTCGTTATCGGTTAATTCTTATTAGTTAAAGGTTGTAAATTGTAGTGCTATTATATACCCTTATTGCTACTACCTACGGTAATAGCTTAGTTAGAAGGGGAAGGTAGAGAGGTAAGGTTTGAATAGCACAGTAGTCGAGTGTTTAATTCCCTATCTAGAAGCCTATTATCGATATTAAGATAGTATCGATAGTATATACTAAACTAGTACCTAAACTAGCTCTAAATTCGTACCTAAACTCCTACCCTCCGAAGCCGCTAAGTTAAATCGATTAAGCGCATTTCTAGCAAAACTACGCTAGCAAAAGTAATTAATACGATAACGACGGATGCCTTAGGCTCTTAGAAGCTTAGTAAAGTAAAAGGAAGCATAGCTATAAAGGACTTGCGCTTAATATACCCTTTGCTAAGCTAAGATATACGCGTACCCTACGAGGAATTACGGTACTATAGTAGAGGGCCCGCGATAACTGCTCCGGCTAACGCTAAGCGACAATATTAGCAAAGTAATACTATTCCCCCCTACTCTAAGCGACAACGTTAGCAAAGCGATATAGATGCTAAAGCGGTAGGTACGGGGGGTTTAGGAGGAGCCTACGACGACTATTCCCCCCTACTCTAAGCGACAATATTAGCAAAGCGATATAGATGCTAAAGCGGTAGGTATAGGGGGTTTAGGAGGAGCTTACGACGACTATTCCCCTCTGCCCTAAGCGATAACGTTAACCTAGATAAGAGTACTAAAGCGGTAGGCATAGGGGGGTTTAGGAGGAGCTTACGACGACTATTCCCTCCTACCCTAAGCGACAACGTTAACCTAGATAAGGGTACTAAAGCGGTAGGCATAGGGGGGTTTAGGAGGAGCTTGCGACGACTATTCCCCCCTACTCTAAGCGATAACGTTAACCTAGATAAGGGTACTAAAGCGGTAGGCATAGGGGGGTTTAGGAGGAGCTTACGACGACTATTCCCCCCTACTCTAAGCGACAACGTTAACCTAGATAAGGGTACTAAAGCGGTAGGTACGGGAGGGGTTTAGGAGGAGCCTACGACGACTATTCCCCCCCTACTCTAAGCGACAACGTTAGCAAAGTAATACGGATACTAAAGTAGGTAGAATGTTTATAAAGGTAGCTATAAATAGGGTAGACAAACGATATACGGGTAGATGTTAGTAGCCGAGCGGAATCGTATATAGGTAAACGAGGTAAATGCGCCTCTTTACTAGCTTTAGGTACCTAAGGCAGGTTCTTATATTACCTCGTCCCTTCTACTCGCTACTTCTTCCTTCCGCCGCGGCTTCTAACTTCCTCCTTCCTATACGCGTACGTAGTCGCACCCGTACCTATACGTCTATACTTGCTACTTACTACTTACTGCTTCCTATTCGCGCTATCTCTACTTCCGCTCTTCCTACCTCCGCCCCGATAATAGCTATTAACTACGATTAGAATCTACCGACGCCTATACTGCGTATATACGACACTATATACTTAAAGCCGCGCCTATCTTCGGCGTACCGAGCCGATAAGCGCATTTAAGACTACTACTAGCGTGCCTATAATCCTAATAGAACCCTAATCGTACGTATTGCTACTATTAATCTACCTCGATTTATAGGTAGTAGTCGGCTTTAGGCTATACCGTCCCTAAGAAACAACGATATGCCTATATCGTACTAACCTTAGGTCGTACCTATATACGGTATCTCTACCGCCGCCTTGTCTACGACTACTATTACTACCCCGTTCCCGATAGATCGAGAGTAGCTACCTACTTAGAAGTGCGATTACTATAGTAAGATTAAGGACATTTACTAATTCTTAAACTAGAAGAATAAGGGCGGTCCTCCTATAAAGCGATATGCTTCGTACCGAGGCATAGTTATATCGAAGAATACGTCTAGCAACTAGGAAATTAAGAAGGCTAGTAAGCGCCCTATACTAGCGCCCGCTAATCCTAGTCCTACGACTCTCGCTCTACAGTATCGAAGCCTTATATCTGCTTCTAATGCTGTAATAGGTATAATAGCTCTACCTTCCCGCCTATATTATCTACTTAGTTAGCCTAGCCTAGACACTTAAGCTTAGTAGTAGGAATACGCTAGAGCTAGTCGTTAAGTACGCTTTAAAGCGCGATATTAAGGCGATATAGACAGTTAACTACCGCCTTCCTAACAGCCCGCTTTACGGGTTTAGTAAACACAAACACCTCGCTAGTCTACTTAGTAGCGCTTAACACTTTAAGTATTATAGTATACTACTCCGACTTAATTTCCTATTGTTTAAGGCATATAGCCCTTCTTTATCTATATCGAGTGTAGTAAGCCCCGCCTATAGGAGGAGTAGAGCGGTATTACGGATAACTATTGTCTTTACTATAACGCTAGAGACGTTAGCTTAGATCCTATTCGCGAGAATAAGTAGTATATCTACGGCAAGTATAATAGCAATCGCTTTAGTTTTTAGCGACCTCCGTTACCTAAGCTTCGCAACGCCTACCTCTAGCACTTTCTAAGATAGTAGCAAACTTCGGCCGGCTAAGTAGCTACGCCTACTCGTCCTACTCCTAGCAGCGGTTACATTCCTACTCCTATATAGCAGAGCGATGTCCTTTTCTCGCCTAGCTCGCAAACCTAACATTTAAGCTAGCCGCCGTATTATAGTTCCTAGACGCCTAATACGCCTCGACGTACTGTTCTATATAATATCCGTTTATAGCAGGACCGTCTTA